GCGGAGAATTCCGCCCGTTCGCGGAATCGCGCTTTTTCCGTTTTCAAATATAATCGAATCCCCCTTCTCTTTTCATATTTTTCTTTACGTATTCAAGAGCCTGTGACGCCTAAATTTTTAAAACTTTCAGGAGAGATGATCAACTAGGGAATTGTTGAGGCAAACGCGCTTTCCCCTTTATTTTATGTGACACGTACCTTTAAAATATTGATGAACATTTCTCACCAATGTTATTCCGCATACAGAGTCTTGTGGCATGTTAAATTCACGATGCTCCTTTTTAAGACATTCCGCATAAACATCACAATTTTAAACTTCTCCGTATAATTTGTCAAAGGTTTGCTCTCTCGACGCAATAAATCGAGTGTCTTGACTGTTCCGATTTTTCTTGTGGAAAATTTCAGTTGTGTGTAGGACACAAATAACTTGAAACAGTTATTTATTATATCCTTGACACAAGACGATACGTTTTTCGATATAGCCTAAAGCAAGTTGAGATATTGAGATGATATTGAACGTTAATGAAAAAATTTTCAATTTATATTATGCCGTTTAAAATTGTAATAATATTTAATTTATGAATATTATATGATGGAATTAAGGTGAGAAAGGTGTTACGTAAGGATCACAATGAGTGAACTATCGGAATTTAAACTAAAGAATTTAAGATAATCAAGGTCTTCGCATCTTCTGCTACAGATCACATTCTACTGCCATCAAAACAACATTAACCTAGATGCACTTTGATGTTTATTTAAATCGCAAGTTAATGCAGTCGATATAAATCTTTTAAATAAAGTTCTCATTGCTGGAAAAAACTGCGTTACAGTAATCAATTAATTATTACAAAACTAATTAAAATAGTACATGTGATCAATATCTCATTGTGATAATTTACATTAACTAATTTGTCGTACTGAGAAACGAGGAAAAGGCATTTGATTTTACACAGTATCGTTTAAATTTTATATTATATTTAATTATATTAATATTCGAATTTTATATTTTTCTATTTTTTTTTTTTATCTCTTTATTTATCTTGTATGCAATTTTTTGGCGGCTCGTCACAGAAAAATTCATTACACGAATATAAATTGATCAAATATTTCTGCATATCGTTTCTGTCGCTTTCTGACGTCACATACCGAGACTCGTAAATGGCATCGTACGTCACACGACGTGATAATGCGCGTATATTAATTTATTGAAAATATATCAAGGCTCGAGATGGTTATTAGAAGAAACGTCAATCGTTGATTGGATCGCTGATTCGTCTGCGCCGAACCGTGTCTCATTTCCGCGTGCATGTCGGAATTGAAATGGATCGCGCATCGTTTTGTACGACCGACGCCGCGGATGTATGCACTGTGGCTATTTATTGATCCGTAATTCCGGGCGAACGACGCACGGAAAAGTGTTTTGGTATAATGCTCTCGCGTTCCGCTCGTTATTAACCCATTCACGATCACAAATCTGCGAACCTTCGGCAATTACGATCGCATCAAATCCGTGCGAGTTACCCTATATCTTATTGGGAATAAGACAAATTGCAAAATAAAACTTACATTCTTTTTCAGTTTTTTTTTTAATTTTGCACAAACTTCATTAGTGTTTCTCGCTCGACACTCCATATTTCTTTATCTTTTTATATTAAAATTTCTAATTAAATATTTCCCCCCTACTTATGCTTATACTTCGCGCACACTCGATATTTATAATTAATATTTTACATTCTTCAATCTTACATTTTTTTTTCCTTAAATTTTATATCTTTCTCATAATTTTGTTCGCATTCAAATATCCTTCGAGCTGTGTTATTGTACATTTACGTGTTTTTTTTTTTTTTATTTACATTCGAATGAATGCAAAAGAATGGATAATGTTTGCAGAAGCGTTACTCTGAACAAATCGGGAGGCCAATCGGTTATAAATGTAAAACGAAGCGCGAAGCGCATCCGCGCTTTGATTAACAAACACGAAGGGTCGGAAAGGAAATCGGGAAACGGCAATTTCTTTCAGAAATATTACTCGTTAAGCTCGGTGTAGTCGCCCGTTTCAGTTACCGCGTATAATTTCTCGATGAAGGCCGATTTGTCGCAGATATAGTTGACCTCGTTTCTTCTTGCTTCGCACGCTGGCAGAGCGCCGCTTTTTATTGCATTTCTATATCCGTGAAATACAATCTCCGCTCAAGCGTACATTCGATATCGGGGAAATTGGCTAATTATTTTGTGGCTTCCATATAATACCACTTAATGAATAATTAGAAAATCTTTTTCGCCATCGTCCCGTAATGTATTCCGAGTGTATGAGCGAAAGGCCATAAGTCAATTTAATTTCGAAGTAACACTAATTCAACTTGATCTCATCTTGATCAAATTATGGGCGTACAACATCGTTTCGACATCGAAATATATACGACTTCACAATTTCTGTGTAATAATTACAAAGTTGCGATGCACTTTGATGAAATTGCAATCAGATTTCATGAAAGATTAGCAAAACGAGCAACATGCAATAATCCGTTGTTTTCTGCTAGAAACAACAAGAAGATTTAATTACCATCCTGTCGCGTATGTGTTGCGTAGTATTCTTGCCCTTTGCGCTTTTATGATATAAAATAATTACCATTATTCAGGCGTAAACAAATGAAAATGGTTACGCACTATGTCACGTCTTAAATATTTCCTGGAATTTTGTAATGAGCGAACGAAATCACATTCCCCGAACGGGACTGCGCAAATTTCACATTACAAACTAAGGCAACTATATGGTAAAGAAGAAAAAAAATATGCACTAAATGATTCGAGACACGCGATTCGTGCGTCGGCCATCTCGTGAAGTTGTAAATCATCGATTTCCTTCGTAAATAAAAAAACCCACAGAACGACTGAATAATATAACGACACACACACACACACACACACACACACACACACACACACACACACACACACACACACACACACACACACACACACACACACACACACAAGAGACAACATAATTACCCTTGCAACTGGATGAATATCTAGGAAAATCGGTAACGAGAATATTGAAATAGTAAGAATATCGAAAGTCGTACTATGCGACTCTGTCATCTTTTTTGTTGCAATCAGAGGGAAAATATAGCTTGTTCCACTTCTACGATTCATTTTGTGCAGCGATACGTTATTGTCCGCTGAGAAAGTCAAATGGTAACGAGTGGAAAATATTTTCTGATCTATACTCACTCTCGCAATTAGCACGATAATTGGTTTGACAATCAAGTTAAAATCATGTCCGAGTCGTGAAACTTTGCTATTAAATCTTCTCGTCGAGGCGGAAGCGACTTGACGCATGTTTATTTTGTTTAAAAATTGTAATATATGAAAAAAATGGAGTTGCAGATTGAATTGTTTGATTAACGTGTTCACTTTCAATTATCAGTTACGCAATACTTGTCGCTGTATATTTCTATATTACCATTGCATTTGTACTATTTGTATTCTGCATTTAAACAATAAGACGATGAAGATATATTGAAAATACCGTTTATCAACGAAAGTATTTTACATAATAATTAGAAAATGTAACAATGGAGATTAGTATCGTAAATCTCATGAAAGAACGAGTTTAAGCAACTCACGATTCCATGAATGATTACAATCCTCTTTAATAAAGACTGATCGCTTAAGAAATTCATCTCTCAAGCAGTTAAAAAAGAAAATATTTACATCATTTAAATAACTCTTCGTACATGCAACATTTTTTTCGCAATTTTAAAATATATATAATAATATAAAAACAACTTATCTTCCTTCTCCCATAGTTTCAATTGTTAAAAATCAACTTTAATCCTCTTCCACAAATAAAAATAGCGAGACGCTCGAAAGAGGGAGAAACATCGACGGTATTACGACGGTATTACGCGGCGATTTATAAAATCCCACGAATTTCCCGCGAGCACGCCTACAAGCACGTGGACAAGGAATCAACTCGCGAGAGACCTTTCCTGATCTTTTCTACCCGACGAAAAGCGCCGAGGGAGAGAGAGAGAGAGAGAGAGAGAGAGAG